CAAATGGTGGTCTAGGAGGTGGATATGGAGGATCTGGAAGTTCAAATGGTGGTCTAGGAGGTGGTTATGGAGGATCGGGAAGCTCAAATGGTGGTTTAGGAGGTGGATATGGTGGTTCAAGTAGTTCAAATGGTGGTCTAGGAGGTGGATATGGAGGATCTGGTAGTTCAAGTGGTGGTTTAAGTAGTGGTATAGGTGGATCTTATGGTAGTAATCGTAATGGTTTAGGAAGTGGGTCATCTTATTAATACTTTATTTATTGCTCAAAAATATATGATCATCTTGTTAGAAAATCTAAACTAAACGTATTTACTTAAGAAATAAGTAAATATAACTATACCATTTTTTAGTTTTATTACTATTCTATTTATAGTGTTATAAACATTTGTGCTTATATTTAAAGATTTTATGTGTGTTTTGCACAGTTTTTATTCTTTGGTTACTTTATACTTATTTCTGTAATCTATTGAGTTACTCATATTTGTATGTGAAAATCACATTTCTTTTTTTATTGGTGTAATGTACAATTTGCTTTTATTTTTATCGATGACATGTTTGTTAATTTTATAACCATATTATATTCAACATTAATTAAATAAGTTAAACATATACTTGTTTAATAAAATATAATCGTTTTATTTGAATAAAATAACTAATTGAATGTCCTTATTTGTCTATGGAATGGTTTATATATATATGTATTTGTACTTTACATAACATTTAGCATATTAATATATTATAAATACAGTACATAATAGGCAGTGGCGCACAGAGGTATTTTAAGAGCACATGCAGTGAAAAAAGTTAGCCACCCACCCACCCAATATTTTATTTATAACAAATATTTTCTTTATTTATTTCTCTACTTATTATTCACTGAAATTCAAAGAAATCAATTAGTATAGACTATAGTTTATGTTATAAATTTTTTAATTTCCCTGTGAAACCTGCAGTAGTACACACCCACCCCCTCGAGAACACATGCAGTTGCATTCCTTGCTAACCTGTCTGGGCGCCACTGATAATAGGTCAAAAAAAAAAAAATTTCCCCAGCTCTTAGGTTTATTATCATAATGATATATACCATGGTCAATTCACTCTTAATTTTAAATTAACGGAGATAGACGTGATCTGCTGAGCGTAAAATTTGCTATGCTACGCACTTGTACGACGAAGACAACACATGCAGGTGTGGCGTCCTCTTAATTACTGCGCGCGTAGAGAGGAAATCGCCGAGCTTCGACGAATTGAGCCGACGAGCCACGAATGGGGCGTCGCCACGCTATTACAGTCGGTCTCATGTCTCACTACCGTACTGCGCTATTATTGATGTTTCACATCAATAAAGTGACAATGTAAATGTTATGAAACACTTGTATTCATGTCATTTCGGTGGTGTGTGGGGCTGCAGTCCTGTCATCTGCTCCCCCCCCC